TCACCTAAATAAAAGACAATTTGATCATATCCATGGTTCTCAGCAAGAGAAGAAGTATGTGTCCAATGCTGCCTTACCATGAATCTGTCTCCCAGTTATGAATCAGTGGGCAGGATAATCTGAAAACTCCCATTTAATTGCCTGAGTCAAATTAAACAAAATTTTAATCCAAATAACAAGTACCAAAGTTTTATCAAGTTTGGGTCTGTGCTGCTGTTATTATTAAGCATTTAAGTGGGGCAAAAGCTTGCTAACTTTCTCAAAAGCATTTCTCATTCCTGTTGCCACAGATGGAGCGCTCAACATAGAAGATATTTGTCATTTTGGAAAGAAAAAAGACTCTATTCTCAAATTTTGCTAATCAGAAATTTTTATCAGTTTCCAGTCTCAAAAATACAAAATAAAAACAAACATTTTTAATTCTGTTACTTTTATGCCTAGTCAACTCTGTTCCAAACTGCCAACACCTATGTAAATCTCTACCCCATTTACGTCTTGAAAAATGTGAAGACTAAATGGAGCTTTATCTCTGTGATCTTGCACTTCCCACTAGCTTCAAATTGAATTTTTAAAAATGAATAATATAAACTTTGTATCTAATATGTCCTTGTTTTTCCCACCCTTTTTCAAAGATCACCATGATTTTCTGATTGGATTTGTTTTCATGGCTGCCAAATGTTATAGGGAGTCAGAGATGACCTAGGCAAAAGCCAAAAGTACATGTCTTTGTCCACAGTCTCAAGGCTGAAGAACCTGACCATTTGATTGGGCAGGTGGATACAGGAGTCACATCTGACTGGTGTCAAAGTGGCACATGTTTATTGCATTATAATCTTTTACCTAACAATGTTTTCTTAATTTCAGCTTCTTTGTATTTTGCATTTCCTCTAAAACAGTGAGAAACACTACTTTTATTTTCAACCTCATATACAAAATGTTGTGCTTCTATTTTGCTTGACAAAACGTATCTTCTCAGCTGTACAAGGGATACCTGGCAGGAAAATAATCATTGGTTCTTGCCAGAAATAATAATGAGTTTCCAGCTTGGGAAGTATAGAAAGACGGGAAAGCCTAATGTTTATGATAAATTTTTATACTCTGGATTTTCCTTCTACCCAGAAACTAACAATTTTTCAGGTATTAGGCATATTAACATCTCATTTCACTCTTATAAATACACTTGATAGAATCTCCGATCTGACATCTATTCTATATTCAGGAAGACACAAATGGAGTCAAGTATCTGGGCTATTGTTTTCACCTTGGTGTAAGTCCTTCATATGTGCCATGAATGCTCTACGTCCTCTGACATACAGCATCAAAGATGTAATGCTAAGATGTATGGCAGCTTTACAATACCAAATAAATAGGAACTAACACACTAACTAACGCTGGGTACAATGGCTCATGCCTGTAATCCTAGCACTTTGAGAGTCTGAGGCAGGAAGATTGAGCCCAGGAGCTCAAGACCAGCCTGGGCAACACAAGGAGACCCCATCTCTACAAAAAGTAAAATACAAAATTAGCCAGGCTTAGTGGCACATGCCTGTAGCCCCAGCTACTCGAGAGGCTGAGGTAAGAGGTTCACTTAAGCCGGGAGGTCAAAGCTGCAACGAGCTGTGATTACCCCACTGCACTCCAGCCTAGGCAAGAGACCAATACGGTGTCAAAAAACAGAAAACCTAACCAGAAAGTATTTAGATTTACTAAATGAAAATACAAAAAGGACACAATGTTCAATATGCAATATCATACCAACTATGTTAAAATATTGTTCCATAAAAAAAAGTTGGAAGAATATATGCCAAAAATTAACCTGAACTCTCTCAGGTGGTAGTATTATAAGTGGCTCTTATTTTCCTTTTTTGGTTTTCTGCATTTTAAGTTTTTCTGCAATAGGAAAATATTCCTCTTAAAAAGTCACTTTTAAAATGTTATTTGGAAGGAAAAAGAAAAGGAATATGAGGAGGGGAGTGACGGGAAATTGACCCAAAAAGAGAAAATATAATTTCCCTGAATAAAAGAGTTGTTAATTCTTTTCAGGATCTATTCAGTTTGATGTCTCAGGCAACTTCGACTCAAGGAAGTAGCTTTCGGTCACGAGCTTGCCCCTGCCCAGGGCAGGCAGATCCGTCTATAGAGCCACTTTGACACACACTCTGCATAACACAGAGTGGAGGAAGTTGCTGGACCTTCTTCTGATTCTCAAAGTGCTTCTGTGAGAACAAAGCATGTAATCTAGAGGAGGTTTTGGGCTTTTTCCTGAAAATGCTAAAAGGTTGACTGATCCAGCCACACTCTCCCACCTCCATCTAGTCCTTCACACCTCCCCCACCCACCCACAAAACCCCAGCATTTGCCAAACCCTGACCCAGGTTGAGGATAAAGTCTATTGCTGTGAAACACAAGCTAGTAGATTATGCAGTAATTCGATCTGAATGCTTCACCTGGCAGGCACCACAATATACTTAGTGGTCAGATGCTAAAATTTAAAGGTTGAATAGGAAGAAAACAGTAGGATACAGCCTCACTGCTTATATTTTTAAATTTGATAAGACTTTATTTGCAAATGTGAAAGCCAAACTCAGGCTATGTAAGGCAAAACAGGAGATTTTGTTGATCCGCCTTACCAGATTATGGGGTAAGTGTGAGTACCTGGGCCTTCTTTCCCTTTGCCTGCTTTATTGTTGCAGACTTGCTCTCTCTGAAGTAAAGCCATGATGGTCAACCACACTCAGGCGCAGAGATTCTATATTTCCTCTCCAAGAGAAGGACAGATTTCTTATCACGTTACACATTTGATGAATCCTAGAGAAAAACCGATTGGCTTATTTTGGAAACACGCCCACCCCTGTGGATAATGTATGGGGAATTGGGGAGGTTGTAGAAATTATGATCTTTCATCTCCTATGGAGCCAAAGGAGGATGATTTCTCAAAAGAAGAAAAGCACCATTCCTAGAAGAAAAAGGGAAAGAAAAAGACGTTCAAAACATTAGTAATAACCAGATAATTCTCGAAAGCTTCACAAAACATTTCAAGTTGGATTATATTGTGCATATTACACTTAGAATAAACGTTGTCTTAACTTTCATTTTGTTTGATCAAAAATAAGACATTTTACAGTTTAGTTAGATTTAATATTTAAGAAAATGAAGTCATTAATAGGGTGGGAAGGAAGAGCAGTGACATTTTATTGTGAGCTGGGCACACAATTTAGGTTGTTTGTATAAAGTGTTTATTTAATATAGCTAACCTGTGAGGTTAATGTTAAAACCTCTGTTTTATGAATGGCAAATTTAAGTTTGAGAGAGTTCAACTGATTTATCCAGATTCACACAGTAAAGGAGAAGACCAGGAACTAAACCAAGTTATCGAAGTGCAAAGTCTATGTACATTTACTATCAAATCTGTACCTCACTATAAAATGCACTTAGTCTCACCAAATCAACCCATTATTTAGAGCTAATAATTCCCAAAAGGTGTATCTTTCTTAAGAAAAATGAATGAAAAGTAGTTTTGTTTTTCCTTTTTTTGAGACAGAGTCTTGCTCTGTCACCAGGCTGGAGTGCAGTGGCACAATCTGGCTCACTGCCACCTCCACCTACCAGGTTCAAGCAATTTTCCTGCCTCAGCCTCCCGAGTAGCTAAAACTACAGATGTGTGCCACTACACCACCCTAATTTTTGTATTTTTAGTAGAGATAGGATTTCACCATGTTGGCCAGGATGGTCTCAATCTATTGACTTCATGATCCGCCCACCTTGACCTCCCAAAGTGCTGCAGTTACAGGCGTGAGCCACTGCTCCCAGCCAAAAAGTAGTATATTTTTAAATTTCTTTATTACTTATATTTTCCTATTTTAAAGGAAATATGTATTATTAAGTATTTTAAATAATTCTACCGATAAACATTTATTAAACATCTGTATGTTCAAGATGCTGTATTGGAAACACAAATAAAAGTTAGAAAAGAAAAGCAAGATAAAGCAATATTGTTTAGCCAGCACTGTGCTTTTCTACTACATGTGTTCACTTATTCATTGATGAAATATTGAACACCATTTTTGGGCGATTCACTATACCGTAGTCATTAGAAGATAAATGAAAACAGCTGTCCTTTAATATAGTAGAGACACTAAAAATGTAAACAAACATATTACACAGCTAAATATATGATATGCCAAGAGATAGAGAAAACAAAATTTTTAAATGGAGGAGAATTTTCTTTCCTACCATGGCGAAGACATCCTGGATGGGATAGAACATAACTTGCATTTGACAGTATGGTTGGGATTTTGGCAATTAAAGCAGGAGGTAAGGAAATATTCTGGTCTAAGTGTATCTCACATGCAAAATTAGACAACAAAATAGTAAGAACCCCACAATTACTCTGTAGCAATGCTAACTCTAGAAGAACATAGCAAAGGGAAGTATAGGAAGTATACACTCTGTTGACACAGTTATTAATTATTTGCAGTTGCCTTTTTGATGCCTATACCAAGAAAAGCCTTCCTTATGTATTTGAACATCATTTGTTGCTCTCAAAATTTATTCATGATCATTCTACTGTGAAAGATGTATTGAGGATTTCTTAGCATTTTGCTAGAAGTGTGTTACGATAACATTTCATCCTTTTCCCGAGAATGTAGAGCTCTGCTTTTATTTTAGCCCTGTTGCTAATTCGTTGCACGGAACAAATAACAAACCTCTCTGCATTTCTATTGTCTCGGAATTAAAGTCATAGTTAGGATCAAAGCCTTGTCAAGCAGGCAGGTAGAATTTTGCAAACCACACCCCTTGAAAGCGGGAGAGATATCAGAGTGCACATGAACTAGTGTTGTGAAACGATCTGAATCCAGAGAGAGTCAGATAGACTTAAGGACACAGAGGGTCAAAGCAAAGACCCTCCAAATGTTTATAAGCATTTGGCTCCTCTAAGCCTCCATTTCCTCCTCTGCAAAATGGTCATGATTACCTTCACCTCTCTGGAAAGGATACTGTACCGGTTGCCAACAAATTATATTTGGAACTGCATTCAAATTTAAGACCTTAACTCTTACCTATGACTTTTCCCTGGCATTAATTAAGCCCTATGGATCTTTAAAAATCAGGGCTTTTGGCTAAAAGGCCAGCATTTTATTTTTTGTCTTTTTACCATGTTATCTTTCATATTGCTCTCAATCACTTGCTTGATCCCTTTTGAATAATTTTTCTCACTAGATACACTTGAAACAGAAAAGGCACAAAAAGTGCAATCCTTTAAATAATAAGAGATTTCTTCAAAAGTTGAGCAAAAGCAGGAACATGCTCAAAACAAAATTGAAGGTTTTTTTGTTTTGTTTTTGTTTTTGAGACAGAGTCTTGCTGTGTCACCCAGGCTGGAGTGCAGTGTTGCAATTTGGGCTCACCACAACCTACACCTCCCAGGTTCAAGCAATTCTTCTGCCTCACCCTCAGCTGGGATTACAAGTATGTAGCATCATGCCTGGCTAGTTTTTGCATTTTTAGTAGAGACAGGATTTCACCATGTTGGCCAGGCTGTTCTCAAACTCATGACCTCAAGTGATCTGCCCGCCTTGGCCTCCCAAAGTGCTGAGATTACAGGTGTAAGCAAAGCATCCAGCCCAAAAATGAAGTTTTGAGCAAGATGATAATTTGGGAGAAAACAGTTTATAGCATTAAGCAGATATCTTCACTTTGCTCAAAAATTGTCATTGGCCCAGAGATATTGGGAAAGCTATATAACTCCTTTGAAACTTAGTTTGCTCAGAAAGGAACTATGAAAATGTTAAACACATTTTTGCCATTAGGCATGTAGTAGGCAGAATAACGGTCCTCCAAAGATGTTCATGTGCTAACTCCCAAAAGCTATGAATATGTCAGAGTATACTGCATGTGGAACTAAAGGATGCAGATGGAATAAAGGTTGCTAATCAGTTGGCATTAAGAAGAGGAGAGCAGCCTGGATTATGCAGGTGGATAATAACCCAATGCAATAAGGGTTCTTAAAAGTGGAAGTGGTAGGCAGAAGAGAAAGTCAGAGTGATATGATGTGAAGAGGGCTTGACCTGCTCTTGCTGACTTTGAGGATGGAGGAGAAGGGCCATAGGTCAAGGAATAAAGGCAGCTTCTAGAGGCTGGAAAAGGCAATGAAATGGATTCTCTTCTGGAGCCCACAGAAAGGACCACAGTCCTTCTGGTACCGTTGTTTTGGTTCAGTAAGACCATGACAGATTTCGGACCTGTGGAACTGTAAGATAAGTTTGCATGGTTTGGGGTCCACTCATATAGCAGCTACAGAAAACCCATAGTATATCTTTCATCAAATAATACTTCAGAATTATTTAAACCTTTTGAAAAGAATTCTAATCTCAGATATGATCTTCTAATGGTGAAGTATATGCAACTGTAAAAATTTCGACTCAAACTACTTACTGTTCTTCACTTACCTGTTTTTAAATGGTGACTATAGAGATGCAACATTAATTTGAGATAACTAGAGATGAGTTGGTATTATTTTAAGCTAAAATTAGTAGTCATAATTGATTCACTCATGTAAAGACTAAAACATTGGCCTTTATACAATAAACACAATTCGTCATACAGAGGTTAGGTATTTGGCAGTTAACAAGCCTTGCCTGTCTCCTACCCTTCATCCCAGCATGTAAACTAATTAACCACTGGGAGGACCTTCCCTGTATAAGCACTAATATGTCAGGAAAATATTTATGGCTTTATCCACTAAAGTACATAAAATATAAATTGTTTAGGCAAAGCTTTTAGAAAATAGAAACGTGGGACCATAGAAATACTAATCATAAGGCACCCTTCAGATTTTACTGCACTTGGCACACTGCATTTTCCTGAACGTTATTTATATGTATTATTTTTACCTTAGGCAAGCTAATAATGAATTGCTCTGTTCTAAGGAACTTCAGCACTTCAGCTTTAAAGAGAATGTCATTAAAAAGATATATTCCAAATGCTTAAACATTATGAATAAAGATGGATGGTCACACTGGCAAGTGTGTGCTGTCCTTGGTAACAACATAAAGAATGTTGCTGGTTTTCAAGTGTACAGCTAGCAACTATAAGTTCTTTATTTACATTGCTCAGGGCTTCCTCAACTTTTGAGTTCTGTAGATAGCAAAATAAATGTATAAAGCCCAGCCCAAGGTGTGCTGTAGCCAGCCTCAACAGTTCATCAGAGCTGATTTGTTAGATTTTCAGGAATCCTGTGAGCTAGTTCATGTACTGGTAGCTTGAAATCAGCCAACACTATAAGTCAGGCTCTGTTGTTAGTTTTTCCAGCGAATCAGCTGTTCAGCATTTGTCAGCACTTTACAAAGGCAATTTACAGTCCTGGGCATGAAACCAGGGTCATTATCTAATGCATGTACAATCTAGCGGACTTCTTACCTTACAGTAGACCTGCATATTTGTGACAGATGGCTATAATTTTCTTATTCTTACAGAATTAGTATGCTGAAAATACTTTCCAACAGATGAAAGTCAAGTATCTTGAGGAAGAGGTGCCTTTTTCTACTTCACACAATGGCAATATGTGGGCTAATGCTAACCTGAGGGGTTAACCTAAGTCAGTGTTAGAGACTGAATGTTTATGTCCCTTATACTGATGTGAAACCTAATTCCTAATGAGGCAATATTATAAGGTGGCACCTTTGGGGGTGATTAGATCAAGAGAGTGGAACCTCCATGTTTGAGATTAGTGCCCTTATAAAAAAGACCCCAGAGAGATCCCTGGCTCTTTCTGCCATGTGAAGAAACAGTGAAAAGACAGCCATCCATGAATCAAGATGAAGGCCCTCACCAGACATGGAATCTACTGGAGCTGTGATCTCGGACTTTCCAGCCTCCAGAACTGTAAAAAATTTCTGTTACTTCTATGCCAGTTAATCTACAATTTTCTGTAGTAGTAGCCTGTACTGACTTAAGATTATCAGAATAAGTAGAATATGATACAGGATTTAATAATAATGGAAGTGATGGAGGAATCAAATGAAGAAATTACATTTACCTGTGAATATTTGCAAAGGTTTTAGTGAAATGTGTCATTGAGGTAGGTTTTAAAGATGGACAGATTTTTTTTGTCCCAGGAGTGAATGGTAGCATGGGAATTCCAAGAGAAGAATACAACCTGAATCAACATTTGTAATTGGGACAGTCCTTCAAGTCAGTTGAGTGATCTCAAACTAACCAGACAAAAAAAAAATTTTTCAAGGTAATTTAGATCCAAATGGTGGGCATCTAGAATTTCAAACTAAGAAGTTTTAGTTTTGGAAGTGCATTTGAAATTTTAAAGCCATATTTTCTGCCAAAAAGAGGATTGTGCTCACATGAAAATAGAGACCTCATAGACAACACAAGAGCAGAGTTCGTGTCTGTTTTCTTCACCATTGAACTTCAGGGCTTGTTACAGCACCAAGCACAGTTTAGCACTCATTTTCTTTTCTGTTTGGGAACTAGAAGCTGAGTTTATGCCATTGTCCTTAATTATTCTACCACAAGACACGCCTGTTGAAATATCTTCAGCACACACAACTAAGCCAATGCCCAAACCATCTCGAGTCATTTTTGTTTGATATAAAACAATTTTTGTATCCTTTCCTCTGGTAAAACCTCTTGCCAGATTAAAATGCTAAGAAACAAAATTAATGATAAGGAGAACATAATTAGAAAAATTGTTGACAAAAGGCTAGAACATGAGAAACTTGCTTACTAGTGTGGTTCTCATTCTGTCACAAAGCTGTGAATCAGAAGCAGAAAATGGTACTCAAAGTGAGACCAAGGCAGAAAAGAAACTGCAGTTGAATGAAATGAGATATTTTAGTGAAGAGGTCCATTTTATTTCAGCCTCAAGATTGCGCATCCCTGAATAGAAAGGGTGCTCACTCACTGGCACCCTTCCGTCTTCTGGGAATCCTGGCAAATCAATGAGAGGACAAGTGTGGTGGGGCAGCAAGGATAACTGGCTTGAATCTCTACCTGATGAGGACCGAAGCACTAGATGAAACAGATCAAGAGCACTAACTGTGAGGTCTCTATTTATAAAACAATCAACAGAGAGAGATGGTAGAGAAAGTGTCACAGTAAATGTCAAACAATCTGTCTTACATCATCATGTAGAGACAAATTCCAGGCTCTCTTAAGCTCCTCTCAAATATTTCTACATGAGAGTACTACATGGCCCACACATAAGTCCCATATCAAACCAAGTTTAGGATCCTTGACCACTAAAGAATTCCCTGTTCTCCAACTCCAGTCTTCTGCAAAGGTCTCCTCTGTTGATGGCCAATTCCTGATGCAGCAGCTATGCTCCAGTGACCACAAAGGTGGCTACTGCTGCCAATCCACACCAAAGGGACAGCCACAGCTACCTGTCCCTAGTAATATATCTCTGAGCATGCTGATGCCAGACATTGATGGCATTGTCATCTGACCCAAGGGCACAATCTCTTGTTATTGCCAATGATTCCAGCATAGAACCTTTCCATTGCGTCAACTATGAGATTATTGAAATCTCATGTTCCTGCATCTGACAGATTTTTATGGGGGGAGGGGAATATATCTCTGCTTATCATATTTATTTGCCTTTTTGCTGACTTTTTCACATAGGACTCAAATTCGAACTTATGGTGACATTCCAAGTGACAGACAATGCAGTGAGTTTAGAATCTTTTCCTTCCCAAACCAAACTTTTGAATTTCAACTCACTTCCCTTAGGTTGAATTATCTCCTAGGAGGCTCCTCACTTCATTCTGAAATTCCTATTGAGATGCCTCATCCCCTAGACAGGGCTGATACTCAGCTGGTATGTGCCTAGGTAGGTGTGCCATCTGTCCACAGCTGGCACCCATTATGATTGATTGGTGTTAAATATTCTGGCTAGTCCCCGATCTCCAGGTCTCCCTCAACACTAGGGTAAACACAGTGAAGGCTTACAGAATGCTACTTTTAAAAATATTGAAGGAAAGTGTTTTCCATGCCTTCATTTCTTAATAGTGGGGAAAATATAAGATTGCTACATCATATTAAAGGTATTGACAGTCTTCCAGTGTTTGTCACTTACAGATAAATACACTGCGGTATAGTTCAGAATATGACAAAACTGATTCCTTCTGATACTGAAGCATGGCCTAAAGGTTTGGGTGGTTTGTCAGGTAAAAACTACTAATTGTGTCTCAGCACCCACTCTCATCTTTTTTTTTTTTTTTTTTTGGGTCACAGAATTCCTGAATTTTATCTGAGCACATAGACAACCTGGCTAGAGACCACATTTTCCAGCCAGGAGTGGACATGTAATTAGAATAGAATGTGAGATGGAGCTATATATACTACCTGGGTCACATCATTTAGGAATGAGGTTGCTTGCACTCCACGGTGCAGCCTGGGCTTGACAAATGTGGTGCTAATGAGCCAGCTTCAAGCTGGGATGGTAAAGTAACAAGACAGAAAAAACCGGGTCACTGGTCACCCTCACTGTGGACCTATTCTGGATTGTTGAAAGAGAAATAAACTCCCATCTTGTATGAGTTTGACTTGTTAACTTTGGGTTTTTTTGTTTTATTTATTTTTTGGTGGAAGAGGGCTGTCTCTTCATTACAGCAACTTAGTCTGTGTGCTGACAAATACAAGAAGCTATCAGTCTCTGGAAGAAAGAAACAAATGTTTAAATATGTGTATATGAATGACAAAAGAAATACCTGATAGAACTCACTGTGTAGTCAACATGGAAATACTATCTGTTTGGAGGAAAAACTGTGGGCTTAAACTTTAGATGTTGGCCATTTAAAGCTACGTGGCAGTCTGGAAATCTATCCCATTCAAGATTTAAAGATTTAAATTTGAATGAATGAGTCAAATTTTTAAAGTAGTTGGATTTGTTGGGGGTGATTAATACTGGCTATTAAAACACATACTCCCAAAATTTAAAAACAAAATAAAAGTTTTGTTCTTCCTCACACAAAGTCCTATGCAACTGGGCAGGTTTCTTGGAAGGCTCTTCTGTAACCTGTGACTCCACTGTCTAGACTCCTTCTAGTTATTTTGTTTTTAAAATAGGATCTCACTTAGTTACCCAGGCTGGAGTGCAGTGTCAAGATCATGGCTCACTGCAGTCTCGACATCCAGGGCTCAAGCAATCCTCCCATCTCAGCCCCCAAATAGCTGGGACCACAGGCATGAGCCACCACACCTGGCTAATTTTTAATTTTTTGTAGAGACAGTTTTCCCTATGTTACCCAGGCTGGTCTCAAACTCCCGAGCTCAAACAATCCTCCTGCCTTGGACTCCCAGAGTGCTGGGATTACAGGCGTGAGCCACTGTGCCCACCTTCTAGTACTTTTCCTCACCATCTTGAAATTATTTTCTTCCCAATACGTCAATGGAGGAGGGCAGTAGAGAGGGATCCTGGAGAAGACACAGAGCACCTGAGCCTCGACCTAGAAGTGAGGACCCAAATTTTCAGTGCATTTTATTGATCGGAATTTATCACGTGCAAGACTGGGAAATGTAGAGAGTTCATGAATATTCATAAGTGCTCAGCCTCTTCCACAGCAGTTATTTTGACTGCTCTAAAAAGCAACATCCTTAAACATTGGCTGTAATTTATTGCCCTTTTAACTGCTGCTCCCTGCACTTCTGCACTTCAGTTCTATAACGCTGCTCTCTGCAGTTAGGTACACCCTTAAGCCTAGTGTCTATCATACGCCAGTTAGGAAGGATCCAGAATAGTCCTCATTTTGCAATGTTAGTCTTAATTTTATGGGAATTAAAAGATTAAAATTTATTTTCTCATTTCATTTGAGATCTTTGGTTAAATTCTGAAATTGCATTCTTAGTTCCCACTTAGTGTAGTTGGCCTTTTCAAGATATAGCTATGAACTGTTGTGTGATGGGTCAGGAGATACACGTTTGCACTCACTCAGGCTGTGTCCTTAACTGGCTGAGCGGATTTGGGAGATTCACCCTCTTTGGACTCTATGTCCTCATCTGGGAGCCAATAAGCAAGCAAAACTCTGAAACTAGAAAGGATGGAGTGGAACTAGATGATTTCTGAGGTGTCTATCCCACCTAATATTCAATGGATCTCTAATTTAAAATTTTACGTCTTAGAAACCAGGGCTTTTCAGGAGCTTCCTAGACCTTGTTCATTTTTACTTTTAGATACTCCATCCTATTTCATATTAACTATCAAAATGTACACAGATCCCACATAAAAGATGGTTTATATATAACTATACAAAAGTTTGCGTACGTTGGGGCCAATAACCTTTTCAAGTCTGAACTTTTTTTACTGATCTTAACACTGTGCCCATAGAGCCTAATGATACATTGATCCTCCAAGAAACACTCTCCAGATTCTCACAAAATGGATTTCAGTACAGCTCAGTGGAGTCCACAATGCAGAATTCCTACAAAATGGAACAGATGTTAAAATACTTTATCCCTAAGAAACAGTGACCACACAAGTCACTATCCTCACTTGTGAAAACTAAAGAGCTGGAACAAGGATTGGCAGAAAGGGTACCTGAATGTGACAAGGAGGCCCAAAGCTATTTGAGCAATGTGGGCCCACAGCCTGATGGCTCATACACGCTCTCAGAACATAACTGTGGAGAAAGCTGGGTGTATTTAAAACAGTTTAAAGATTTGAAAGGGAATTTTATATTGTGTGGAAACATTATTTACAGTAGTTAAGCCGCAAGAAAATGGGAAGCAGATATCGTAAAAATTAAAAATTATATGGGTTATTAGCTTAAATGGTCTCTGATCTGAACAAATTCAGCCGGTTGAACCCATCCTACCAAAGATTAGGCAGCTTGCTCAATCAATATGCCACACTGCCCTTCCCGGAGAGAATTGTGGCTAACATGTAGATTGGCTATATTACCCAGAAGGGCAATCCAGCTGGAGATATTACTGAAAGACTTGTGAAAAGAGCAACTCTTCTTCAAAAGAACCTTCTCTCCAGGGGCCTTCTGCATTTGAGCAGAAAGCAGGAAAATCATGGCCTGTAAACCTGCCTCAGCCTAGCCAGACAAGTATCCACTTACACTGTTCTTTTCCTAAGATTCTAACTCTTCCCTGATGAGTTATCTTGGAGGCAGTGCAGATAATCTGAACTGATGAAGACTTTGGCAATCCAAGAAATTCTTGTTAATAGGCTTACTGACATGCAATGTCAAAATAAGATCACATTTGTGGCCATGCAGATTTCCAAAATTTCTGTCACCACTGGTTAACCTGGTGACTAATAGGCTTACATATCACTTAGGTCTTCAGAAGGAAGATGGAGACTGCTTCTTTCTTGACACTAATAAAACTGGGTATTTGTGCAATAAATGCCTGCAAGATACCAGCTTTATTAAGAAATATAAAACTAACATAATCCTCCCTTGGTTTGCTTGAATGCCTGTGGCTTATGAACCTTGAAGAACAAACTTTGAATTACTTGGCATTCCCAGCTTTGAACATTATGAAATGACTTTCTTTTTTTAATTCTAAGGTCACAAAGTTGTCATGTAAGGCTAGTATTAAAAATTAGTGGAAAATATTTTAAAACCATGGCTCCTTCTGAAATCAACAGAATTTGGCAAGCATCTCACTAATTACAAACCTTTTGTAATTTGGAGTTAGGCCAAGCCATTAAAATAGTCTATATGAAACAGTCCAGGGTAATAAAGGAGTAACCCAAAAATTAAGATGAACCCAAAATAGCTGCCTAACACCTGGTAGTTAAAAAAAAATTGAAATCAAATGGTAAGAATAGCCAGAGGAATGGTTGAAGCATGTCAAGATGACTACAGACAAAGAAGGAAGTCTGCAATAGAGAGAGTTCAAGTTTCCCCAGCTAATGAAGTCTACTGCAAACGATTCAAGCATAAATCACAGAAAATCTCAGCACCAACATTTAACTTAAACTTGATGGAGGTGGGTAAAAGCAGAAAGTCTATGCCCCATTTGTAAGTACACATGGAAAAATTGACAACTAAAAAATGTAAATGACCTTGTTTTTATTTTTTTGCTAACAACTTTAAAAGGAAAGAAAACAGAAATGGAAGTAAGGAAGAAAACCATGACCTTGAGCAAGTTATTCATCTTCACAGGCTTCAGTTTTTCATCTAAATTGAGGAACTTGGACTAAATGATGTCTAAAATCTGTTCCAGCTCCAACATTGCTTTTCATGAAAACACTTTTGAAGTCTCAGCATGACTAAATAAAGGGAGTAATGTGTTACTGTGAACAATCAGAGCAAGAGCCCGAGGGGAGCACATGCTTGCTTTATGTCTTATCATTAAATTCGGTCCATCATGCCTAAATCCAATGTTATCTCCTTATTTCCATAACAGGACATTGTTACTCGTGCCTAGTAAACAGCATGGCTGCCTTTAGGATATTGTACAAACTTACCTACTCATTTTTCAATGTGCTTTGCTTTGAGGTGTACTCTTCATGGGATATCCACAGCAAAAACATTTACCTTTGCCTTATCACAGTAATCATGGTTTAAGGAGCAACATTTATTTATTTTTCTCCACTGGGACCAGTTGTAAGGCATTAAGTGAAGTGGGTCCTTGGAGCCTTACCCTCTTCGCCCGTAGCTTTGGGAGCATCCTTTCCTCAAGTTCCCTACCTTTGGCTTCCCAGCCTTCACATCCAGGAACCTGCCTTCCCCACACACAGAAGCACAGGCTTCCCATGGGAGGAAAAGACAAGTTTTTCAAAGGCAGACACCCACGCAGATCACAATGCCTGGCACAGAGTAAGAGCTTAATAAATAGTAAGTAAATGACTCAAAGCATTTTAGACCTAACAATTCTGACCTTATATTTCCTCAAGACTGCTGACTTATCTAATAAACAGTCCCACCCCTCAAGAGCCATTGGATGCCTATATGTCCAGGTGACAATCTCCTAGGTCAGAGGAAAGCATTTGAAAAAGAACTGCTGAGACCAAATGCCTTTACCCTAAATTCCAGGATTCGGAATAGGAAGTGGAAGAGCAGTTCGGAATTCTTCAGGTGTTACAATATACATTTTCCATAGTGCAGCCTCATCTTTCAGTGACTTATCTTTAAAAATTACAGTATGACCCTGCACGGTGGCTCACGCCTGTAATCCCAGCACTTTGGGAGGTGGAGGCCGGCTGATCATGAGGTAAGAAAATTGAGACCATCCTGCTTACACGGTGAAACTCTGTATCTACAAAACAAATACAAAAAATCAGCCGAGTGTGGTGGCACAGGCCTGTAGTCCCATCTACTCAGGAAGCTGAGGCAGGAGAATCGCTTGAACCCGCAAGGGGGAGGTTGCAGTGAGCCAAGATCACACCACTGCACTCCAGCCTGGGTAACAGAGAGAGACTCCATCTCAAAAAAAATACAGTATGAAACTATAAAATTTCACTTATTTAAAGTCACTAGAAGGGGCAATTTTAGGGCTTAAGGCACAGAATGAAGAAGAATGGAAAAAGGAGCAGGAGAAAAGGAAGTCTTATTTTTGAGCTCTGCTAAATCACAGGTACATTTCTAGGTACTTTACGTA